TTGTGTGGCTGCTTGTACTAGTACGGAATGATGCCGATTTATAGTGCTAGCTCACTGAGATACCATGCCGCAGTTTAACATGAATACCCCACTCAGACACAGTATACTGACTCCGAGCCGACCAGTCCTTGTTTTAGCCCCTTAATGCCGAGCGCCAGACAGGGTAACAACAAGTACCATCTTTTAACGTCTTTTGGTATGACGCGGCTGGGGATCGAACCCCGGACCTTCCGCTCTCCGGGCGGACGCTCTACCTCTAGACCACGGAGGCGGTCTATGGGAGTTACGATCATCTTACCGCTAAGATCGCTTTGTGGAACCGGGTCCAGTTTTCAGTACACTCATAACTCTTTTCTGCATCAGTGATTTGAACGGGCCCCGTGAAGATCCGGGGTAGAATAGGTCTTCAGCAACACATGCTTGTCGTAAGAGGCGACTAACGGGATCAGGCTCGCTGACTTGGTTGAGCCACTTGGATTGTCGTCGTATCCCCATTGCGTAGATGGATGCTCTTATTGTCATTCACTGGATTAACTAGTCAAGACTCGAATTTTTCCAGACCGCTGTCATATAGCTGGACTATTACTGAGTGCGGCTTTGAACGAAAGCACAAGTAGGTTTGAAGTCAAAAACGGTGTGCCCTCAAGTACATGCAGGATTCTTCACAAATACAGTCGAACCTCGTTGTGTCGAATTAACGTTTGTGTCGAGCTCATTTGGAAGTCCAAAGTATCCAAATGAAGCTTAACATTGACCTGATGTCTCGAACCTTTTTCCAGGTCCCCACGAGTTCGACACATCGAAGTTCGACTGTACATTGTAGTGATGTAGGGCAATATTTGCCAGCGTTAGAAATTGGCACTAGTCCTGTAGTCCTTACCAAACTGCCCAATGGTAAAGGTATCCTAAGGACTAGTAGAAATTGGCCAATTTTAAGGGTTTTGCTGTATGTTATCATTATGAGGACAAGTGGTCAAAAACAGTTTCTAACCCTGTTTGCGCGATATAAAAATATTATTAAGACGAATTGTTGACTTACTGCCCGAACAAATACATTTGACATGACGATCAATATTTATCATAACAATATGGGTCGTATCAGGGAACGCATCGATCGACCGATGCGTGCTGCTGTGCATTGTGTATATTTTGCAGTGTAATATGACAAACATTGAACGTATCCCTATAGCCACTAATACCTCAGCTGTCTCATTGTTCGTGTCTCACTGAAATCAGAGCAGTCTTGTTCATTGTTTTCTTGATATGAAACCTTATCCACGCGCCCAGTCGTCCCTTGGGCCCGGATGAAACCTATGATCGTGGGTTCGAATCCCGGTTCGCCCCGATAACGTTTCGAGGTTTGTCAGCACCAGAGCGTGCTCGTGGGTTTCATCAAAGTGGTAAACGTCTGAGACCTGCATCACTTCAGGCTTTCCTCCCACATTAAGCTGATACGCCATGATTTAACTAGAATACTGTTAAAAGCGGCGTTAAACCCAGCTCACTTACTCTCTCACATATACACGCCCCGTTTTAAATGGGCATCAAATGTAGCCACTAAGAAATCGTTAATCGCAAATGTCAACCTTCGAGGAAAAGGGAGTAGGTTTGCTATTATTTGTTTAAGCAGTATATTGCTGTGATTTATTCTCGTTCAATGATAGACCCGTCTTCACCAACCTATGCTTGTCGTAAGAGACGACTAACGTGGTCGGGCTCCTTTTGATGCTTGTTAGTCCTGCACCGTGACCGTGGAATATATTTATTTTATGAAAAAATAATAATCTAGAAATGCATACAAAAGCAAGTCTAGCCAGCTCAAGCTAGCTCTATTCCACAGCATAGAGAAAAAAATATTATTTTTAGAGTCAAGAAGGATATTGTGTAATATAAGATTTCAGAGACTAAATGTATTTTTAGAGTCAAGAAGGATATTGTGTAATATAAGATTTCAGAGACTAAATGGATTTTTAGAGTCAAGAAGGATATTGTGTAATATAAGATTTCAGAGACTAAATGGATTTTTAGAGTCAAGAAGGATATTGTGTAATAAAAGATTTCAGAGACTAAATGGATTTTTAGAGTCAAGAAGGATATTGTGTAATAAAAGATTTCAGAGACTAAATGGATTTTTAGAGTCAAGAAGGATATTGTGTAATATAAGATTTCAGAGACTAAATGGATTTTTAGAGTCAAGAAGGATATTGTGTAATATAAGATTTCAGAGACTAAATGGATTTTTAGAGTCAAGAAGGATATTGTGTAATAAAAGATTTCAGAGACTAAATGGATTTTTAGAGTCAAGAAGGATATTGTGTAATATAAGATTTCAGAGACTAAATGGATTTTTAGAGTCAAGAAGGATATTGTGTAATATAAGATTTCAGAGACTAAATGGATTTTTAGAGTCAAGAAGGATATTGTGTAATATAAGATTTCAGAGACTAAATGGATTTTTAGAGTCAAGAAGGATATTGTGTAATATAAGATTTCAGAGACTAAATGGATTTTTAGAGTCAAGAAGGATATTGTGTAATATAAGATTTCAGAGACTAAATGTTAGTCTAGATGCTTGTCTTCGTATCCCATTTGCGTACATTGATGCTCATGATGTCAATCACTGGCTTGTGTTGTCCAGACTCCATTATTGACCGCCGTCCATTATCAGTTATTTAACATCAACCACTTTTTAGGTACTGCATTATAAATGTCTGGGTGGTTCCGTGATTTGCTGTCCGTGGGTTGCGCCCCTTTACCGCGAAGGTTTTTTTTTGTCTGTTGTTATCGCCGCACTCAGTAATGTTCAAGCTAATGACGATAGGCTGTAAATAATCCAGTGTATGCCAGACAAAGAAAGGATTGGTAATGTGTAACGTCCTAAGCGCCCGATATGTGAGAGCACGCAAGCAGCCATGTTTTAGAGTCGCCCCGAGTCGGATCATATGATTTCTCCAGCAACCCGCGTTGATCAGGCGCGCTCATGGGGTTCCCTAGCCTGGGCCCCGGTTCACGAAGCGATCTTAGCGCTAAGTTTATGGGTGTTCGGGAACACCTAGGCCCACTTGCACAAAGCGATCTTAGCGCTAAGATGATCTTAACTCCCATACTTTAACATAGGCTTACAATAGTTGAGCGCTAAGATCGCTTTGTGCAAGTGGGCCCAGGGTGTCGGTTCTATTGCTTAGTGATTCATAAACACATGCTCGCGATAAAGTCGTAATTGTACAATCGGGTTTAGTAGAAAGTGGTGGTGATATTTGCTCGAATATTGCTTAAAGCGGCATAAACCCACTCACTCACTCACTTCACTCCAATTGCATGGATCGATGCTCATGATGTCAATCACTGGATTGTCTGGTCCAGACTCGATTATTTACAGACCGCCATCATATAACAGGAATATTGCCGAGTGCGGCGTAAAACACATCTCACTCACGGTGGCTGCAGCTTGACCTCAGTGATCAGTGAATGAGTGAGTGAGTATGGTTTTACGCCGCTTTTAGCAATATTCCAGCAATATCACGGCGGGGGTTGCAATCGTACCCTGACAGAATCATACGATGCTCTCGCTTTCAACATCTGGTTTGTTTGATCCACAACCAATGATGATGATGATGATGATGATGATTAATTCGGAAAATTCGCTAATAACATCAACATAACATATGCGTTCCACGATGCTGAGTGAGTGAATATGGTTTTTACGCTGCTTCTAGCAATGTTCTAGTACTATCACGACGGACAACATAAATGGGCTTCATGCATAGTACCCATGTGAGGAATCGAACCCGGACTGACGATCCGACGCTTTGACCACTGTGACCACTGGGCTACTACACCAACAATATTTTACAAATATCTATTTTAAAAGCATTTCTCTAATATACATAGTTTCTTGATAGTAATTTTGGTGCCATTTTTATATAAAAAAAATCTCCTCACGTCTCATGAACAACAAATATAGGTCCCGTTGTTTGAACCTCATTAGACCGCCTCCGTGGTCTTGTGGTAGAGCGTCCGCCCGGAGAGCGGAAGGTCCAGGGTTCGATCCCGGGCCGCGTCATACAAAAAGACGTTAAAAGATGGTACTTCTTGTTACCCTGTCTGGCGCTCGGCATTAAGGGGCTAAAACAAGGACTGGTCGGCTCGGAGTCAGTATACTGTGTCTGAGTGGGGTATTCATGTTAAACTGCGGCATGGTATCTCAGTGAGCTAGCACTATAAATCGGCATCAGTCCGGACTAGTACAAGCAGCCACACATACACACACGTGCATGCACGTCGCTATATAAGTGCAATAATCTTGGACGCGACGTTAAACCCAATTTCACCTCACCTCACCTTGAACCTCAGTATCACAACTGCCCGTTCACACCCCATTGTCTGCCGTAAGAACAAGAACAAACCTCTGCCCGTGGGGGTTCCTTGGGCTCAGAAACCCCTTCCCGTGGGGGTTAATTGGACACAAGAACCAACCTCTCCCCTAATATGTCCCAATTACCCTAACCGTGTCGAAAGAGCCAAATTCTGAATGAGGAATTAATTGGCCTGGCTGATTGTGTGACTTCGTTGCCAAACCTCATAAATTGTTACTCGTGATGTTAGATAAAGTTGCGACCGTGATAAAGGTTGAATACAACTGACGTAAAACAATATTCATTCACTTGTGCATATCTGAGGTGAACGGTTGGACATGGTTTAATGATGTTATCATTGTTTACAGTCGTTTGTCTAGTGGGTAAGGGTAGCCCAGTGGTTAAAGCATTGGCTCGTCAACCTGAAGGCCTGGGTTCAATTCCCAACGTGTGCAATGTGTGAAGCCCATTTCTGGTGTCCCTCGACGTGATATTGCTAGAATATAGTGGCGTAAAGCCGCCGTCATATAGTTGGAATATTACTATGTGCGGTGTTATACAACAAACAAACAAACAAACACTCTCAAAGTCTGGTGGATCAGCTCGTTTGTCAAACCCTCAGATATTGATATTTGTTTATTTCAGACATGACGTCATTCCTATTGTGATGGGAGGATCTCCGTCGGACTACAGGCGAGCTGCGCCGCCCCATTCCTTCATCCACGTGGACGACTTCGAGAGCCCCAGTGCTTTGGCGGAGTACTTGAAGCATTTGGACCAGAACGAGGATTTGTATAATGAGTATTTTCTCTGGAAAGGAACAGGATCGTTCATAAACACGTTCTTCTGGTGTAGGATATGTAGTCTGCTTCACGACGTTGATTCCAGGCCGCCATCTTGGTTTTCGGACGTTGACAATTGGTGGCGCGGGCCTCATGTTTGTATAGGGAAGGAATCTTGGCGGAATAAATCGATGGAGCTGAGCTGATGAGTGGGATCGAGATGTTTAAGAACAATACTATCGTCTGTGATCTTCTGTGATGCAAGAGTTATCTACCGTGACGGCGATTCCCCGTCGACCGGCAAATCCAGTCTGTTGCTGCCTTCGGACAATCTACGTTCCAAGATGCAATATTTTTATAATTATTTTCTAAATCTCAATTACCAAGATTTTGGAAAGATGTGTTTATATTCGTATGTGTCACATTAGGTTGAATGTGCATATGCATGGGCAGAAATCTCCATGGAAACGGGGCCAAGTTTGGGTCGGAAGATCAAGTTTCCGATTGTTGTTGGAATTTGTGGGTGTAAGCATTGGTGTGTTGTGTGGGGATATTTATCGTTGAAGTAACAAGCTCAAGTCATTTTTTATGAGGTCTTAAAATGGTTTTTTTTAAAGAACGTTCGCTATTAAAACCTGCATGGTTGTGACTATAGCTACGTATACCCCTGCCTTTGTCACACCCACCGTGGGAGATATTTGACGGGTGACAGAGAAATCGGGTTTCATCCGTCCGTCTTTCCGTTCATTCGCCTGTCACGCTTTCCGACGCTGGCCTCAGAGCCGGTTTGAAATAATCTAACTGAACAAAGACTACATGGTTAATTTTTTTCTTTCTTCTTTAAAAAATAAATTTGTCTGGAAAAAATACACGTATTCACGGTAGTTTTGTTAAAAGAGCGGAGACCAAAACTATTCAAATGAAATTAAGTTCAGAAATGATACAAATATGTATTAAGATAAACATGACATTTGCATCCACGATAACTGAAGACTTAATCTCCGTACTGAATCCATAATCTTGTGATTCAATGAATCTTACATATATAAGATCTTATGTAGTCATGCTCCGTTCTTCACATCGGTTGGGGTTATCTTCGTTTCCTTGGTTACGTTGTTGTGAAAAGAGATGTAATTGTCATGCGTCATCACTTTTCTACACATTCAATAACCCGCGGGGTTTTTTTGCGTTGGCGGGGAATATTGGCGACCAGGCTACCGTGTGTATGTTGGGTCGTGACGATAGCGTTTGTCAAATATCGCACTAAATAATTCACTGATTGCTAGGGTACCAGCTGCAATGCAGCCGGCGACACGAATCTATCGCTTACAGGTTGACTTTGGCTTAAAATGACCAGATGTGAAACAGTATGTATTGTATTCTTCTACAGTAACTGTTATAAATCTGATACATATACATTACCATGACAAATATAATTCATACGTATGTTCACCCAGTTTCGCTTAATCAGAAAATCAATAACCCTGCGGATTAAATATTTACTGGTGCGCGGGGATACATTGAATTAATTTAGATAGGACAAACTATTTGAAATAGCCGAGGTTCGTGATTGGAAAAAGATAGCTTGTGTCACATGACAGTCAGTTGAGTATCTGGTTGAAATATGGCCTCCTCTCCTGTTGATAATTAAACCGGGTGAATATAGGTAATGTTTTCGATAAGACAGAGCTTCAGGGCCACGAAGATAATCTCCATTCCTTGAAACGTTAACTGCTTTCTTAACCATCAGAATATTAATGCTCCGGTGGCCTTGTACTTGGTTTAGTGATTGACGCGGCCAATGCTACCCCGGGTAAGCTCGGATTGGTCCACCGATCCCAGTACACATTCGTGACCACTCGTGTCATTCCGGACAAACCGGGGACGGAAAGGCGCGAGTTGTGACGATTGAACTCATTCGTGACCCAACTCGTGTTATTCCGGGACAAGCCGAATAGCGACTCGTGCCCCTCTCATGGCCATTTTTGCGACCGGGTTCCGTCTTAGCGCAGACGGGCATACCTAAAACAATTGTCAACTCGTTGCGTAATGGTTCACATTTATTTCCCCATGTATTATATATATTTCAGATGCAATTTAAAGCACATCGAGACATGTGGAATTATACAGTATGATTGAACACATTTAACGGTGTCTTAGGTATATTCTTAGATGCAAGACATATGTAAAATAAAAAAATATTTCTGAGGGATTCTTTGACGAAGAACTTGAAATCATACGCGCATTATGATTGGTTTGTCGTATTTTCGCACATAACATTCATCGATAGGGGGACGAGTCTTCTTGCAGGCTACGGAAAGGGGCGAGTGGTGACGAATGGATTGAACTCCGAGGGCACTGAAACGGTGGCAGACGACTGTAGCGAATGTGTGAGTTTAAATTACAGTTGCATCGGCAATATTGACGCCATGTAGCGATAAGAACAAGGTATTCATTATCAAGTCGCTGTTAATACCAAATGTATGTGTTTATGATTTGATATATAATACTACCGTTATTGATATTTTCTATTTTTGAAAATATATTGTTTTCGTTGTTTTTGTACAGACACACTATGCTCTTAGTGTTTGTGAAGTGTTGTTGTAGTGTTGGGAGAAGGCAGTGTTGTCGATTCCAGGGAGTTTTTCAAACATCTTTAAATAGTAGCTGTGACCTGGGTTTATCTAAACATATAACAGCTTTCACGAGCTGATCAAACACAACCCGGTGTTTCATTCAGAGAAATTGTATGCTTGAATTTCTTTAGTGAACTACCATGGTCCGCTATTATTCGAGGGGCAAGGGTGACCTCTTAGGCGTCGCTAGTCGCTGTTTAGAGTTGCGTCCCTTGGGCACGCCAGATACCTATGTTTGTGGGTTCGAATCCCGTATCGCCCTGATTATGTTTCTAGGTTTGTCAGCACCATACCCGTGCTTGTGGGTTTCACCGAAGTGGTAAACGTCTGAGACTGCATCACTGCGGGCTTTCCTCCCACATTAAGCTGACACGCCGTGATTTAACTTGAATAGTGTTAAAAGCGGCGTTAAACCCAACTCACTCACTCACTCCATGTTCTTCGACTCTCGTCTAAAACTGTCTCTCTCGAATTATCGTCTTTAACGACGTTAGAACATCTGTTTTATACCACTCAAAAAAAGTCAGGGAAAACCCGATTTGTTCATGTTACAGGTCATGGCAGATTAACTATAGTACAGTAAACTACGGTTATAAGGAACTTAAGGGGCGGTCGGGTAGCCTAGTGGTTAAAGCGTTCGCTCGTCACGCCGAAGACCCGGGTTCGATTCCCGACATGGGTACAAGGTGTGAAGCCCATTTCTGGTGTCCCCCGCCGTGATATTGCTGGAATATTGCTAAAAGCGGCGTAAAACCATACTCACTCACTCACTATAACGAACTTAAAGGGACCACTAATTTTAGTTCGTTATAACCGTAATTCGTTATAAACATATTTTAAGCATATATACCGCAAATGGCTGGGACCAAAAAAACAGTTCGTTATATCCGCCAGTTCGTTATATCCACCAGTTCGTTAAACGTAGTTAACTGTAACATGAAAAGAGTCGGTGTTCTTGACTTCTCACGGTTTGTCCCAAGACTGCTCCCTTGTATGTCAACACTGCTGGGTCCGTTTCACTCCCTTAAAGTCGAATGTGTTACCAGTTGTGTAGCGAATTCGGGTTGCCATGAATGTGGGTTACTAATGAATTGTACAAAGTTGCTTGTTTTGGTTTTGTAAATATTGAGATCGTTACAAGACTTGTTGTTTTATGTAAGTTTATGAAGTGTTGATGAATTTGTTATGTGTTAGCTGGAGACATTCCATTTCAGAAACAAAAACCGCTGTCATCATATTGCCATGTTAGAAGTTCCCATCTCTTTGAAGGAGATGCTTGGTAGTGACTATAGTGAATATTCACGGATAATTCGGGGGCATGGATGGCCCAGTCGTCTATGGCGCCGCAATTCGCTGTACAGAGTTGCGTCCCTTGGGCACGCCAGAAACCTATGATTGTGGGTTCGAATCCCGGTTCGCCCCAATTATGTTTCTAGGTTTGTCAGCACCATACCCGTGCTCGTAGGTTTCATCAAAGTGGTAAACGTCTGAGACCTGCATCACTTCGGGCTTTCCTCCCACATTTAGCTGCCACGCCGCGATATAACGGGAATACTGTTAAAGGCGGCGTTAAACCAAACTCACTCACTCACTCACTCATGACATCACATATCAGTAAGTTTTGAAAATGTAAGTCATTAGCAAAACTTGTCTTACAAGCGGCTCATCTCCGGTTTGGCGTCGTAATTATTCATTTAAAACTTAGACCCTGTCTCTGCGTAACTTGGGTATTTATTAAGTCAAGGGGAAGCAACAAATGGGTTCAGTTAGTTGACCTACAATGAAATTTGCTTGGATTGCCAAGCTACGCTAATCCATCATCCATCCATCCCCTTTATGGTCCTCTGTTGTGTGGATGTAGTTAGTGTTAGATTAAACACACGCGCAGGCACGCACACACCGACAGACATACGTACGCACACAAGCAGAGGGAGAGCTGTAGTCAGATATTAATAGACATGACTAGATTATATGAATACAAACTATGCCGTAAAAGGCGACTATGCTTGTCGTAAGAGGCGACTATGCTTGTCGTAAGAGGCGTCTATGCTTGTAAGAGGTGACTATGCTTGTCGTAAGAGGCGACTATGCTTGCCGTAAGAGGCGACTATGCTTGCCGTAAGAGGCGACTATGCTTGTCGTAAGAGGCGACTATGCTTGTCGTAAAAGGCGACTAACGGGATCGGGTGGTCAGGCTCGCTGACTTGGTTGATGCACGTCATCGATCCCAACTGTGTGGATCGATGCTCATGATATCAGTCACTGGATTGTCTGGTCCAGACTCGATTATTTACAGACCGCCGTCATATAGCTGGAATATTGCTGAGTGTGGCATTAAACAACAAACCAACCAACCAATACAAACTAGATATATAAATGTTTGGTTAATATGTTCTGTCATTAGGAGGAGAATAATCTCGAGTTCTTGTTCCACAAAACGATCTTAACACCTATAACACTGACTTACGACAGCCGTGGCGCTAACATCGCTTTGTGGAACGGCCCTGTACAGACACCATAACAAACTCAACGTCTTACTCGCCTTACTTTACCAGGATCCGCTGACCGCGGGTTCGAATCCAGCTGATCCTGGATTTGTACCATACCGCGCTTGTAGGTTTAAACGCCTACGACCTTGGTCGCATTGTGCTTCGTGGTATAAATAACGTTGACGCGACCTTCACCCACACTGCTTGGGGCGCTGCTGTGCAGAAGCGAAGAGAAGAAAGCACTGACGCCATTTCTACCGGCTCCGTACATTGTTGATAAATACATGCCCACGTTGTCATGCTGTGTATTTTCACATAGAAGCTTAATTTTTGGATAATAACGTTTATGGTTACATTGGTGCACATGGGTCATGCCCGACAAACCACTAGTATTTGCATTCCCGATAAAGCGCTCGTACCTGCATGCCTGTAAAGGCCCCAAAATCATCATACCTAAAAAGGACGCTAATATTTCCTTTGCTGAAAATACGCGCTGATATTTCAATACCTGATCAGGCGCTTATCCATGCATTATAAAGGTTTTAATATCGGCCTATAAACGTCACAACAATGTAACTTTTGATGGTGTAACCAATTCTGGTTGTTCATGTCAACTCCCGTCATTCCAGCCTTTTCATCCGAATCTCCATGTCTGCATAAACGGGGCCATCTGGGCGTGTCACGTGGACTTTGAATGTAGGCATTGCTTGGTTAGTGGTATGCGCACGTGCTATCCGAGGTGTGACGCAGCCCACGTGATGTCCTGGGAGATGTTCACTGGCTCGGACGGGCGTGAATGTTTTTGTACTTCATTCATGTTTTGTTAGCAATAATTCGGAAGCTTGCTTTCCATTGTAACTTATGTTGACTGGGAGAGCCCGGCGTACAGGATGGAGGGATTAAATCGAAAAAACATGCTGTTTTGTTTCAGTTGAAATTTCTAAATAAACCGTCCTATTATTAATAAACACGTGTGTATGTTGTTTGTGCCTTGGTTATGATGTGCACGATGTCCATGTATTCGAGACCGCCTCCGTGGTCTAGTGGTAGAGCATCCACCCCGGAAAGCGAAAAGTTCTGTGTTCGATCCCCGGCTTCATCATACCAAAAGACTTTAAAAGATGGCACTTCTTGTTACACTGTCTGGCGCTCGGCATAAAGGGGCTAAAACAAGGACTGGTCGGCTCGGAGTCAGTATACTGTGTCTGAGTGGGGTATTCATGTTAAACTGCGGCATGGTATCTCAGTGAGCTAGCACTATAAATAGGCATCATCCAGAACTAGTACAAGCGGCCACACACACACACACACGTACATGCACGTCGTTATATAAGTGCAATAATCTTGGACGCGACGTTAAACCCCACCTCACCTCACCTCATACCACAAGACGTGAAAGATGGTGACGGCTGTCTTGAAGTAATCGAGTCTAGACCAGACAATCCAGTGATTGACATCATCAGCATCGATCCACGCAATTGGGATATGATGACATGCATCAACCAAGTCAGCCAGCTGACCACCCGGACCCGTTAGTCCCCTCTTACGACAAGCATAGCCGCCTCTACGGCAAGCATGGGTTGCTGAAGACCTATTCTAACCTGGATCTTCACGGGCCTCATGATATGCATGTTTGGTGCGCATTGAAAGAATTGAAACACTCCCCTTTTAGTCTACGCTGTACTCTTCGGGGGCACGGGTGGCCAAGTCGTCTTCGGCGCCGCGATTCGCTGTGCAGAGTTGCGTCCCTTGGGCACACCAGAAACCTATGATTGTGGGTTCGAATCCCGGTTCGCCCCGATAATGTTTCTAGGTTTGTCAGCACCATACCCGTGCTCGTGGGTTTCACCGAAGTGGTAAACGTCTGAGACCTGCATCACTTCGGGCTTTCCTCCCACATTAGGCTGACACGCCGCGATATAACTTGAATAGTGTTAAAAGCGGCGTTAAACCAAACTCACTCACTCACTATCTGAGTTATATTATATATGATATCTGTTGTAGATAAGTGTGTCACAAATATTGAACGCGAAGCGAATTTGATGCGCATGGGTGCTTTTTTCGTTTAATTAAGTTTCGATCTTGAACAAATCTCGGTATGTGTCCTGCTTAAAAAAGATTCTAGCATAACTTGAAAAATGTAATTGTAACATGTGTGGGTGCTTGTCAAACTTGCGACGTTATCAAAGCTTATACTATTGACTTTTGGTCTAGGCACGCTGTATATTAATGAATTCACACCTGTTTCATGCTGCAACAAGTTCATACACTCATATGATTATGTAGACATGTGAAGTATATGACCTCGCTATAACGCCAATATAATATTGCATAGACCCAAGTTGGTAACGCTTCTTCATTATTAAATGTATTGGAACATCAAGAGGAACTTCCCTGCCCGTGCACCTAGTGAGAGCATTGTACCTGGGCGTGGCACTTACTTACTTACTTACTTACTAACTTACTTTGGAGATTTAACGTGCGCTTTCCGACTGATGCGTATTTCGCACACGGGCCCGGCCAGGCCATTTAATGTGATTTTGATTTGGTAGGTTATTGTGTTTTTAGATGCGTTTTATTAGTCCCGTTTTTATTAAGAATACGCCTAAGGCCTTGAAGTTTTCTAGTTTATTTTGTGGGTTTAGTATTGCTTCTAGACATACTTACTTACTTACTTACTTTGGAGATTTAACGTGCGCTTTCCGACTGATGCGTATTTCGCACACGGGCCCGGCCAGGCCATTTAATGTGTTTCCGAAAGGGGCGAAAGTGGTGTGTGCAACCCAAGAGGGGGGTTTAGGGGTTGCTTATATAGAATTTGGTAATTTTGAGATTTGGAATAGATGCCGATGGGGTTGGGGAGAAGAATTAAGGGAGCTGGGTATGGTGGATGTTTGTTTGTTTATGTGATTTTGATTTGATAGGTTATTGTGTTTTTAAATGCGTTTTATTAGTTCCGTTTTTATTAAGAATACGCCTAAGGCCTTGAAGTTTTCTAGTTTATTTTGTGGGTTTAGTATTGCTTCTAGAGTTAGAGCCTTGTTTAGATTGAGGGTGGTTTGTAATGCGGTTCGATGTGTTAGGTAGTGTGTGCAGTGGATGAGTGCGTGTTCTGGGGTTTCTGGTTGTTTGCAGTGTGGGCAGTTACCTGCAGTGTGTTTTTTTTAAAAATTTAGGTGGTTATTTAGGTTGGTGTGTCCTGTTTGGAGTTTAGTGATTACTCTGTCGATTTTTTTGGATGGATGGCGAATTTTTGGTTTGGTTAGTGGTTTGCTGAGCACTTTTTTGATTTGGCTATTTGAGTTTAGATATAGGTTATGCCATTTTTTGTGATTTTTTGCTTGTTTACACTTTTAATTTCTGATTTTGAGATGGGTAAGTTTAAGCTTATTTCTGGGATTTTGAGGGATAGTTTAGCTGCTTTATCGGCGTTTTCATTACCGTATATTCCTACGTGGGCGGGTATCCACAAGAAGGTTATTTGTTTGCCTGCCTTAGTTAGGTCGTTGGAGCTTTTAAGTATTTGATTTATTAATTTAGGTCGGTTTTTGGTATTTTTGTTTTGGAGGGCTTGCAGTCCACTTAGGGAGTCGGTAAGTATTAGGATTTTTTTGTGTTTTTTGGATTCTTGATTATGGAGGGCTGA